GTCATCCCCATTAGACAACACCTCCCACCCCTTGCAGGTAACCCTGACAGCATGGGGTGTGAGTGACGGTGCACCCAGAGTGTGCAAATTGTACCAAACTGCAAAATACTTAGCTATGCCTCTAATGAAACCTCTGTTTGCTCTGTTTCACTTCTGCAACATCAGTCTTTCCACAGGTAATACCCATATGTTGATTCATGGTTTTCATCAGTTTTCAGACTACTGCAGCATATTTTAAAAGGGGTTATGTGCTGCAAAAGACAAAAAAAGGGTTATTCTTCTGTATTCAATCCTCAGGTACTGCTGTGATGCTTACACCTATGACTAAGTCCCACTTTGCTAGGTGCACTTGTTCAACTTTTCATTAAATCGAATATCTGATCAGTCGATCACATGGTAGCAGCTTAGTGGATTTAGGCATGTACACATGGTCAAGACGATCTGCTGAAGTTCAAACCAAGCATCAGAATGTAGAAGAAAGGGGATTTAAGTGACTTTGGCCAAGACACGGATGGTTCTGCCAGACAGGGTAGTCTGAGTATTTCAGAAACTATTAATCTGCTGGGATTTTCCCAAACAAATTTATAGTACAAAAAAGTACCATAAAATATTCAGTGAGCAGCAGTTCTTTGGTCAAAGAAGAGGTCAGAGGAGAATAGCCAAACTGCTTTGAGCTGATAGAATAGCAACAGTTATTCAAATAACTACTCAACCAAATTGCAACCAAGGTATGCAGAAGAGCATGTCAAACCTTGATGTTGATGAGCTACAGCAGCAAAACAACTGCTGCTTCTATCAGCAAAAGACAGAAAAAAACTGAGGCTTTTAGTTGCAAGCTGAACAACAGAACAACAGAAAAACGTTGCCTGGGTTGAGTCTGAATTTCTGCTGCAACATTCAGATGGTAGTGTCAGAATTTAATGTAAACAGCACGACAAACTGATCTCACCTGATATCCCAAATCAACAGTTCAGGCTGCTGCTGGTGTAATGATGTGGGGGTATTTCTGTGCTACACTTTGAGCGCCTTAAATGATCTTTAACACC